TTTAATCAAAATTTATGTTGAGTAACAATTTAAATTTTCTTTTAATTATGGTTTTTTCCCTGGAGTACTGGTAGTGTTTTATTTTTGACTCCCCAATATTTTAACATGATACGATTTCTATTATATCTAATCATAAACTTGAAGATTGAAGTATTTTTAATGTTTCACAATGTGAAATAAAAAAAAATAATAATTATAGTAATAGTTAATAAAACATAATATCATTGTAAAATTAATTAATTCATTACTTTGCTCTGAATCTAAAACAATTAAAACCTTTGATTGAATAAAACACAAATAAAAACAAAATATGATTATACTGAAAAAACACAATGTATTGGATTTTAAGAATTAAACTGCACGCTTATGGGAATAAAATACAAAAAAATAAATACATATATTAATATAATTATATAATATTATATGTTTTCCGAATTCCCCTGAGCAACATATTATACAAAGACGTCATATTTATACGATGGGTTTTATAGTGTATACTCATATTGATAGGTAGTATAACGCAAACATTGTTGATACAATTTTACCAAATATTTGCGGATGAGATGATATTAAAAATTGAAATTTACATTATTTTTCATCTCATATTAAAATACTCATCAAACATCTTCCCACTCCCTTTTAAAAATAAGACATGAAGTATAATTCAATATTATAAGTAGGTACCCATAATATGGCGATGCGAATGTCGATTTAAACGTAAATAGTATTACGTAGGGACATATTATTTCATAAATGACGATATCTAAAACTGTTTATTATATTTTGTTATTATTCTATTTTTCGTAGTGTAGTAGACGTGGTGTTTCATCTTCTATTGGCTGGAAACCCGTCAAAGTTGTTGGCTGTTGAAATATGCCATGCGGGTGAACTACAAAACTAACTATAACTTTCTCTGGTATTCTTCTTTTTATTTTTTCTGGTCTTGTTCGTTCAACGTCTCCCGTCGTTTCAGTTTATTTGTTTGTATCTTTGTCGGGTACGAGATTGAACACGCAAACACACACACACACACACACACACACACACACACACATATTTACAATGACACGATAGTTTTGCGTGCCCGCCACGGCGACCCGGGATTAAAATTTACACCACGACGACGCGACTCGCGAAAAAAAACACAGCTGTCACTAACGGCTTTCTTTTGGGGCAAACAATATTATTCACACCCCGGCTTTTCCTTTCCCCCCACACACACACAAACACACACACATCCACTCGTACAACAACGCACATCCCTTACGCGGTCGTCCGGCTTAATTACTTTTATAGTCTTAATGGTCGGATTTGTGCGGGTGGTTCATGACCCGCCAAAACACGCGGAAAAACTCGATAAATTCCACGTTATTAATAGACGTCACGAAGGCTTGTCCGCGATAGAGCGCAATAATAGTGGAAGCGAGGGATAAAAAACGACGAAAAAAACCGACCGGTTTAGTAAAAATCGTCAAGCCACTGCCATATTGCCGCCACCGCCACGCCAGTTGCTATTACATAAAACGCCTCATCGTCGTTTTCGCCGCCAGTCCGTCATTAAATATACTATGACATTATGGAATAATTTCCACGGAATTGGTTCATAGTAACCTGTATGAAATATAATTTGACTATCGTATTACGCGTCTATAAACGCAATCGGTTTAAACTAGCTGCAACTTCGTTGTGGCGACCGAGATACACGATCTGCGAACGTGTACAATATATGTAAGTAAAATTAAACGATATTGTATGTCTTCAAAAGTATATACAACTGACATGAACCAAATAGATACTGTTATTTGTATGTGTCGTTTTTTGAATATTTAAAGTTATTAGCACGCTGTAATTAGAGTGTGACATTGTGTTTTTCACGATTTTGAAGACATAATTTGGATTAAACTGTTGCAGTGATGCAATAGTACAAAATAATGAAATCAAATTTGATACTTAACTTCTATATATTTTTAGATTTTGAGATAAAAAATGAATATATTGGTTTTACAATGATGTGTTTGTGTTTTTTTTTATAGTTGGGAAAACAAAAAAAAGCGGGGTTTTTCCAATTTTTGGCAAAATCGGTTTTATTTTTTTGATGTAGGTAACTCAAAAACGAACAGTCATATTTAAAGCTTTTATCGAATTTTTATACTGATGTTTTTATTTACATTAAAGTTTTCTGAAAATTTCTATTATTTTTGAGATATTTATAAGCATAAACAAATTTAATTTCTAGAAATTCCGTTTAAAAATTATTCGCTGGATAAAAATACTGAAAATTTAGTACAAACTAACTCACACATTTTTATTTCACAATCAAAATATAACTATAGTCTTATCAATTTTTATAGAAATTTTTTTTTTTTTTTAATTTGAACGAAATTACTTATTTTAAATTAAAAAACAATGTTAATAATTTTATTATAATTAAAACCATTATTTGTAGGAACTTAAAACTTTTATGCATATTACATTATCATTATCAATTTTACTTAATGATATTTTTAATTGTTTTTAATATATTATTATCTATTTATACTTGAATCTATTTTTATTGATTTACGGTATTTATAGAAATATGTTATTATATTTCGAGTTTTATAAATTAATTTAATATAGTATAAACATATATTATTATAATATTTAAAAACTAATAATATAATAAATGCAATATTTTAGAAAAAATTGTATTAACCTATTATAGTCCTAAAAAAAAAAAAAAATATTTAAATTGCTTTATCAAAAAACATAAATCTACTTAGTGATATAGACCGATAGACTGTTTCTACTCAAAATCGTTTTTTTGAAAGCAATGATATGTCCCTGAATTCAAATTTAACACACTATTAATAGTAAATCACTCGATGTCTATTTTACAACACAGTGATATTCACTTCTCTTTATTTTATTAATTTCTAAGTTCATTACTACATAGTATAAATTATTATTATAAATAAAAAAATATATTTATTTAAGCGCAACTATATCAGTATTGAGTTAAAAATATAATAAATTAAGAACAACATTTCTGAGCTAAAATTTTTAGGGTTAAAATAACTAACTGATATAATAAAATATCCGAATTAATCAAAAAAAAAAAAAATTAAAATATCCTGCTTAAATAGAGGATATCAATGATAGTTGTATTAATCATTAATATTTTTTGCTTTATAAAAAAATGTTTATGTAATGTTTTTGTTCAATGTTTTTTTTTTTTTGTTTAATTATTTTTATTATGTTTTGAAACAATACTTAAATATCGCATCATTATAAAAATAGTATACAAATAAAAAAAAATATTTACATTATATTGTTTAACAGGCTACTTTTATTTTTATTTTTTTTTTATTTGGATATTTTGTCCTTTCTACTGGTTATTTTAACTCTGGATAGGATATTAATTTATCTTTTTTGAATATTTAAGTATTAATTTTCCCTAGATACCATAACAGTAAATTATTAAATTATAAAAAAGCTTTAATTCATTATTATATAATGGATATTATCAGATGACTCTTTTGACGAGACATTTGTTTTCCGTTTTTTTTTTATATATAATTTTAGATTTATTTTAATACATGCGTCCTTTTTATTCGTAAAATAATGTGATAACTCGGCAAATTAGATAATCAATTATAGTATACTATAGTATATGTTAAAATTTAATGCTTAAAATACATTGAAATACAAAATAAGTGAATTAGTTGTACAAGCAATATAGATAATGTATTTTATTGACATATTTCGCACATGTTTATGAACAAATTCAATATAGTAGGGATATAATACCTAATTTCGAATAGAATTATTATTTTTATGGCTTAATAATTTTTAGTTTTAATATTAAGTGCACAATTAAGTAATTGTACACAATACAGTTTTATTAAAATATATTTAGTATCTCACTAAGGTACGGTTAGGTTAGGTCGAATTATTACAGTAAAACATCTTTTGGCGCTAATGATACTAATAATGATTATATGGTGATTATGATCACGAATGTACTTTCACAAGTGATTTTCCTAGATTCCTGTAAAATGTCAAAATTGTTCTACCACATGATTTTTAACCACGTCTTTTAAAAATATAATAATATATATTTTATAAAACACAAAAATAAATATATCTACTCTTATAGTATTATAATATTTCAGAATAAAATATTATTCTTTGCGTAATTGATAAAATAAAATAAAAGCTAAAATAACAAAAATAAATTGAACAATCTACTAAATGCACGAATTCTGTATAGTTATTTTGAATTATACTCACAATAATATTAATTTCAAATATTTATCAAGTGCGTAAAACAAAATCAAATTTAATAGGTAAATAATATATTTAAATTGGATTTAATTATACCCTTGAAATTAAGGTAGAGTAACTTTGCATTTGGGTTTAAATTAAAAAAGCCAGCTTATCCGCAAGAAAATATTATAAATAGACAAATGTTACTTTTAAGCCCCTCGTTATTATTTATGACCACGGTTTATGAATAAAAAATAGCATTTATGTAATGTGCGGTTGACGTGTATGACATATCATTATACGGTTAATAATAATTGTTCTAAAACAGAACATTAGGTGTACGTTAGGTATTTGTTTTTTATATAACGAATGAATACTTTATCATTATGAACATATATTGTCGTCTCATATATAATACTTTAATAGATAACATCATATAAAAAAATGCTATTAATATTGTAAGTTGTCAATCAATATAATATAATATCAAAACCGCCAATATAATAGTAATATCTAAATTAAATCATATTCAACATAAAATTTAATTTAAATATAGTGAATAACATATCGGTAGATTTTAAAACAAAGAATTTTATGATAAATCATAATTTAAATCAATAAATAAGTTTTTCAAAATATAACATAGACATACATAATATATATTTGTATACAATATATTATATTTTTTGTGACGTGTTGGCGTAATCCATATTTGTATAAAATGGTATTGTTCGAATAGTTTTAATACTTACAAACGACGTGCATCCAAGAGGATACGATTTTCGTGTGAAATGATGGTGCGTCTGCTGATACCTCACATCGGTACTTTCCTGACAAGTGTTTTCTGACATCTCGTAATACCACTTGATTAGGTCCTGATTGGCTAACCTAATTAAACATACAAACATGAAATCATGAAATCGATGTAAGTACCTCATTAATTATATGAAAAATTTAAAATGATATATATATATATATATCAATGTGGCATACTACTATAAATACATGTATAAAACGACTATATAAACCAAATCGACATCCATCGTACAATTTTGTATTTTGTTGATAAAATATACTACCAAACATTTTCAAATCACAATTTTTTTTTTAAATTGACAAAAATGTTCCTATATTATAAACGGTAAAAACAATTATCAGGAATATAAAAGGGTATTAATTTAAATGTATATTTAATGTACTAAAAATACAACATTTAAAATAAAATTTAAGTATGCTAATTGAATACAAACTTTTAGGATGAATTGTCGTGTATAAAACATTACAATGAGAACAATACGCCGTTGATAAGGAAAAAAAACTTAAATGAGATTACGTAAGAAAAAATATAAATACCCATGAAAAATTCAAAAGCTCCGTAAAAAGTACCATTTTTGCTCCAAGAAGACCGTTTAATAAAAGGGCAACATTTAGTATACTTAAACTAAATAATTAACTAGGTATATGAATTAAATTTAAATTATAAAAGTGTATGGCTACATATTATGCAAATACAATATCATAATTGTTTTACATTTATTAAATGCTTTTAGTAAAAGAGTAAAATTACAATATTCTTTCATTGTGAACTGATAAAAGTATTTACCTAGAACTTAATAATTCAAAATAAATATTTTTAATGTTGACATAATGGTAGTATAATACATTAATACATTGTAAACACAATGTATATGAAAAAAGACTACGAAATGGTTCATTCTGAAGGTTAAATGTAATTGAAAAATTTACTATTACGCTTTATTGATCTTATTTAATTACTATAAATTACATTTGAAACGTTCATAAAACAAAAACTATACTATATTATGTAGACTATGAACTATTATACGACAATTTTTGCCCTAAGATACGTAATTATAATGTTTTATTTAGTATTTTTATCAATTTAAATTCTAAATACATTATACATTTATACAACATAATAAATTTACTTTATAGAGCTATTTCATATGCCAGTGCGCACCCTATAATATAATGTATTCTACATTATAATGTTTGATCATTTATTAATGTTCCGTATAAATACAATAATTAAATGGTATTCCGAGGAGTGTTTCCGAATGGTGAATGATAAATTTCCATTAGAGGTTTGATCAATGATGTACAAATGTAGTCGTACACTCGTACTCAACATTGCAGGATCGCGTTCAACACACGCGTGTTACTTTTAACACAACAATGATAAGTATAAACAAAAACGCATGTTTAACAATGACCTGAATAATATTTTGTACAGCAGTATATTATTATTGAAATTGTATTGTAATTTTGTACACTTACGTCTACGTTAATGCCAGGCCACGGGAACACTCTGGTATGTGGCAATTCTTTTGGCACGTACCTGAAGAATTCTTGTCGACCTTTATACCACTTAACCGTGTACAGCGGATCGGATTCTAGATCGTAAGTGCACGTCATCTTAGCTGACTCGCCGGAAGCCACGGCTACTGGAACCGTTATACTCATGTTGGATAGGCTGTCGCATCCTGGAACACAACGCAAAGGAATAAGTCGAGCTTATAAATAATAAGTCTGGGATCATTGTCATAATACGTATTACCAACTTCACTATAGTTATTTTTAGACTATGGCATTGACGGAAAAACCGTAACGGTGTCGAACATCTAAGTTTTCTGTCATTCAATATAAGTTTTTTTATTTTTTTACTAAAATATCATTTATGTGTAAATACTTGCAAACAAAATCATTAACTATTTTATTAGATTAAAATTATAGATAATCAAAGTTTTAAAAGATTGTACTTGAATACAATATAGATTAACATGGTTAACATTATAAGCTGCATAGAGTTGAATTTTATAGTTTAAGTTAAACGTTCTTTTTGCTAGAAGTCAAAGCGAAATGTATGAACAATATTTGTCATTCATCAAATATGAAACATACTACATCAAGCCTACTAAAATATGCGTTATGATTGTGGTATTATTATTTTTCAAAAATAAAAATATATTCATTTCCAGTCAGATATAAAATATAAAATAAATTTTTGATTGAGAAAATAATATTTTAGTTTGAAGTAGATTATTTTATCTTTTTTTAAAAAAAATTCAAATATAAGTGAAAGTTGAGTACTTTTACATCGTAGAAACTCACAGAATATTTACGTTATTTTTAACTTTAAAAATATTTTGAAACTTTATAACACATTTTACTTTTTCTATGTTCTTTACAACTTGACTGATAAAAATTTTTGAAAATGTATAATATTAAAAGTTTAACATAATTCATAAAAGATATATGTGTTATTAAAAGTACGAATTTGTGACCTACAATAAAGTTAGTTTTCCATAAAATATATATAGTAATCATTATGAACGAATAATGAAAAACACATTTTGCAAGAATTCTTAAATCTTATAAATTATAATAATTAATGTTACAATAGCAAATATAACGTAATAACATTAATAACTAAATGAAATCAGTGACATATGAAAAATCACGATATAAAGTACACTTTAATTAGAATAATTAGTTAATAATAAAATATCAATAAAATAACAATTATTAAAACCTCTTCTAGGACTAAAAGTCAATACTAAGTATTATTAATTAATATAAATTGTATCAAAGGAATTATATAAGTAAATAATAATAATTTAATGTTGCAATGAATTTCACGATGAAAAGACACTTGAAACACTATCACACAGTATTACAAAACATAAATAAAACTAATAGATGAAAATCCATATTGTGTTATAGATAGTATCGTACTTATTAAACAAGTAGAAGCTGAACATTATATATCGGATTTCATTCTTAAATTATCTTTCGAAATTAAATTCCATTTTCTTTGAGAAATAAGCAAACGACCGAATAATAGTGTATATCAAATTATAAATCAAATTTACTCGATAAACTTCTAAGGGATACGAGTAAATCTATTTCTGGGTTTTAAATTGTAAATAAATAATACGTTTTATATCTTATTGTGTAATTAAAAAAAAAAAAAAATCACAGCAAATTTAATAACTAATATAGAATGTATCTGTCTGAACATCTGGTGGATAAGCCATGTGCTGCAATGAGAACTGCGATACACTTATAGCATTGAAATGTATAAGTATCAATACGTGTATGCATCAATATACGTATCATATAATATTATATTGTGTATACAACCATTAAGTGAATTTAAATTTTAAATTATTAAGTTATCTGTTCAAAACGTACTCTTCAAGTTCATAGTTCTCAAAACTGTTTTATCGTCACTATTTAAATTACGGTGACTTGTGTTGAACAAAATATATAAATTATTATTCTTATATGGTTATGATGTTATAATGAACTAATATAAATAAAATTTTCAAAATCATTTCATATTATTTATTGTATGAAATATGAATAACATTTTTAATTTTAACCTAAACATATACCTACGTAATATTTTTTTTACAATTGCATTTCAACAAAGTTTTTGTTAAATTTAAAAAAGCATATTTGGACAATATACGATGAATAAACATTTTAAAATGTATAATTTTAACACTAAATGATAATATAATTTAATAAACAACATCATTTTAAAATTTAAAAATAATAAAATATAGATACTAATATAAAAATTAATAAATTACAATAATATATTAATATTGTATTGAAAAAATTGACTTCTAAAATATATTTATTTTTATTCCATATTATTAAATATATTGACTGAAGATATTACGTTTATTAGTTATTATTTAGTTTATCAATAAATTAGTATCTTCAATGAATACACTAAAAAACAATTTTAATAATTCTTATTTAGAGACTCCTGTAAGAATTTCACATGCATTTTAACTGCAAAAAATGTATAATTTAATTTAAAAAAAAAATTAAAATACAAATTTAAGTTAGTTAATTTAAATCAAAGTTCATGATTTTAAAAAAAGCAATATTTTCATTAGAACATTTAATAAATCTTAACTTAAACTTTAGACATTTTACATAATTTGTAATTTATTTTAACTTACATTTTTCGTATAGAAAGCGTTATTAAAGAAATTATTTATATGTTACATTAAACATTCCGTATAATATTTTACTACTAAGTGATGTTTAAAAATTATAATCTACTAAATATTTTATTATTTTACTATTGGTGTACAATATTATGCAACAAATGAAAACCATTTTATTTATTTTTAAATATTTAAGAAAGTTTAGGGCCTCATATTTTTACAGATAATTGTAAATATTCTATTTTATTATAAACTTAAATATTATTCTGATTTCTGATACATATTTGTTTATAATATTATATAGCGTACACAATATTTATTTTCTTATGTTATTACTCAAAAGTTTACTTATGTGACACATTATATATTAGTGTAAATATTTTTGTCTAATTAAAAAAAAATATAAATACTTTTATTTATGAAATAAAAAGAGTTTACCTAATAGAATCTTTAATGCCCGTCAAACGTGTACATAATCAATAAACTTGCGATACCTGCATTTATTTATTCATTTATTTTGCAAGAAATTGTGTTTTAATTTAATGCTATTGTAAACTAAAAACGTGCATTTTTGTTGATGTTTTTATTCCATTAAAAAAAATCATCAGTTTTTTGTTAATAAAATTTGATAAATACATTTATCTTGTCAATACTAAATATAAAATATACTTAATAGTTAAAAAAAAAAAAAAAAAAAAAAATATTAATAATATTATCATGAATACATAAATATACTATATTCATATAACTATATTTTCAGTAACAACACGGAACGATTAATTTTAGTTTAATTTTTACTACAAAAGTTGTTCGATAAATTATTATTTTACAATTGTTTCAAACATTATTTAAAAACCGTTATTATTATAAATAATAATTTATATAATATCGGTATATACAAACGTCCTGCATGATAAATTACACATGCAATTTGGTATTAAAGTTAGGTATTTCAGTAGCTGGTACAACTAAAAACATTTTATATTTTATGATTAATTATTATTTTTAACTAAATGCAGCTACTAAAATATGTATTAAAAACAATATTATTTATATTATAAATAATTATGATTTTGTTTTAAAAAATCAATTTAAAAAATGAACATTAATTAAACTGCAATAAATGCTGTTTGAATACTTATTCAGACACAATCACTCACGCGTTTTGGCATAACAATAAGTAATGAAAGTATTCTAAAGGTATATATACACGTTGGTCCCTTTCAAGTAATAATGATACTAACTACTACATTATAGTTTTTATATTTATTTTGTTTCAATGTATCATATATTTTTTTTCAGGTTTACTTTATTGCACATTGTTTTAGTGTAGTACTATTATACAAACTAACTGTCGACGAATTATAAATGTTATGATGTTCTCAGAATCAATTTATGTTATCATCAGTCCAACAAAACTACAAGTATTGTATCAAACAACACTGTAACAGTAAAATTACTATAAAATGTATGTGTAAACAATATGTGTATAGTTTATACCTATACAGTATGACTAAATCTCTTTTGTTCCTCAAAAACGCCAATTTTCAAACAGAATAATACAATAATATGTTTATCGATTCGAGCAAGAGTGAACGCGTTCAATTTTTCGTCTGCACAGATTACTAAATAATAACAATATATAATAATTATGATAATAACATATCCAAACTCATTCACGATGTGATTTGTTATGGATTGTGGTACTCATATAATATAATGTATTATACATGTACACAATATAATTCAATTAATGGTTTCAGACGCAATAATATTGACAAACGAACAATGCCGAACTGGGTGGTGTGAAGCAGTTCAATTATACTACTACTAATAGTGCGCCGTAATGTTAAATTTTGAAATCGATGATAAGTAATTGAATTTGAAAAACGGTTGCCAATTAAAATAGTGCTTGTTCTTTTCTTCTGCGCGTACCTATGAGTGTAATTTTTCCTTAAACGTATGTAGTAAACACGGAAAATTCAGAAAATGTTTATTTTTTATTTTTATTAAAAACGACCTATTCCGTATTGAAGCGCCGATTATAATATAGTCTCTATTGTTAATCGATAAATAGGGTCATATGAAACTTTTGAAAGATTTATTCTGTATAAAAAAAAAAAACCCCCCGTTTGATGGGAAAGATTTTAATTGGTTATGGTAGTTTAGCGATTAAAATATTTTAATGAAAAACATAATGTATGCGTTCCTGAACGTACCGCTTTAAATCTAAAATTTAAATAATATTACAATTTTGGTAACTAATTTAATAATAGCTTACAACTATGTAACCTGTCGTACCTACCAATCACGAATGCCGACAAGTAATATATTACGTATATTTCCTGGAGTGTGTACGCATGCAGAAAGACGTTAAGCCTGACTAAATAGTCGTGTCGATCTCAGACAATGATGAGTAAACGATGAATCCATTACCACCGGCGCCCACGTGTTTACATTAGAGGACATTCCAATTTGATGGGTTATCGATAGGGTGGGTTGTCGATTATAAGGGT